TCCCTTTATATATAACAGAAGAATAATAGGAAACTAAAGGTATATTATTATATAGCCGATATTTACATTTAATCTTTTTATAATATAGATAACTATTAGTTTACTGATATATTACCCGATATGCATATCAGTTAACTAATAGGACTATATAGGTACATTCTATTATTTTACCATTATTCATATATTCGACCTGTGTATAGCTCTTCAAATTTAAAACTTGATTTTCTGAAATCTGTTTTTTTTTGTAGATTTCACTCTTTTCTATAGCATCTAGCATATTACAGTTGTTTTAAAAAGGTGATTCTATATACCTATGTAGAAAATTAAAGAATCAAGAGATTCTGATTAGTAAAAATTGAATGTTCGATTAGCACTGGCTTTGAAAATTCTGAAAAATGAAAAAATTTTATGAATTTCTCAAGATTTAATCTGCATTTATTTACATCTTTTTGAAAACAGCTATAAAGCTTAATACGAATTATGATTTCAATTTTAATCTCTAGAATAGAATTTTCATATTAACAGTTAACCAGATACAAACCAAAAAATCCTAGTATATAAAATATATCTGGCTATTTGCATATCTTCCTAATCAACTTTAAAAATCGAATTCTTTAATAATGCATTCACCTGAAACAAAACAAATAATTAAAAATACTAACTTAAATAGATGGCAACTAAAAATTAAACATAATAGAAATATCTGGCATTATTTAAATAATGATGATGAAGTCAAAAATTGCCCCAATCTATTATTGAAAAGTATTAAACTGGGTTGCCTTTCATAAGTTTTTTTTAAAAAAATAGATATAAAATTAAATAATTTAATCTGGATAGTAGTTAACAAAAAAAAAAAGCTTTCATCAATATCATTTCTAATCTTAATTTAAAAATTAATGTGAATATAAAAAAGATATTAAAAATATTTGAAAAGCCAAGAATAGCTTTTGAAGCAACCCAGAATGGATTCAAATTTTATAAGCAGTTACAAACATCTGATGGCCATTGGGCAAAAATATGTAGTGGGCAAATGTTTTTATTACTGAGACTTATTATTACAATATATATTATGTATATTTCTATCCCAGAAGTCTGAAGAATTAAAATTATTTAATATATGACAAATAAAGCAAATTCTGTCAATGGTGAATGGAGATTGTAGGTTTATTTTCTGTATTTAATGTTTTGCGATACCTGCTTTAAATTATGTTAGGTTGAACAAGTCACAACTTTGAAATTGGTTTAGGCAAATTGAACATGTTATGCTTTATATATTAGGTCTTGATCCTGATTATCTGATAATAGTAAAAAGTAGAGCAACTTTGCACAAACTTGGTAAGTGATTTAATGTTTATTATTTTTACAATAATTTATTGATGCTTTCATATTAATTATATGCAAAATTTCTGTGATTTGATAGGAGGTACAATTGGTGTGTCTTCATAAGAAATTTTTGGCTGCATGTTTGAATGTATATAACTAGGAAGGGCTTAATTCAATTCTACCAAAATCATGGTAATTATCTTTTAGATTTTTTATTTTTATTTATTACAATTATATTTTTACTTTTTTTAAATTAATGAAAAAGGCTTCTTCTGCACTTTGTACCTATTCACCCAACTCATTTTTGAACTCATATTTGTGCAGTGTATCTCTCAATTGGGTACATTTATAGACTTAGATTAAGTACCAAGGTTACTCTACTAATCAAGCAACTTAGACAAGAATTATATCTTCAATCATTTATACAATTAATTGGTCTAGAGCCTAAAATAATATTGCAGAAGTTGAACTTTATGTTCTGCTAGCAAACTATTGAAATTTTGCAATTCTATATTTACTTTTTATAATTTTTTCTTTAGCTATTATTATTAGAAGCTCTAATATATTCTTATTTTAGTTATATTAAATATTTATGAAAAACTTTTTAATTTTCTTGGACTCCAGGAAGTCACTATTCAAGAATGTTATAAATTAATTAAATATGATGATGAAAATATGAATTATATTAATCTTGCAGCTATAAATATAAGATTTTATTTTATTCTATTTTATTCATGATACTCAATATTGAAAATTTTTTAAATTAGTAGGTTAACAAAGTATTGCATGTCATTTGTATATATTACAAGGAAGGGCCAAATTCTGAAGCATTCAAGCTTGCCAAAAAAAGATTAATTGATTATTTAATTTTTTTAATTTATTTCTAAACTTATTTAATTAATATTAAAGTTTATTATTTTATTTAGACTAGTTCAAAAGAAATAATAATAGGTGGTATGGATGGTACTCAGGTTTGGGATACTGTACTTACAGTCATTGCCGTAAATGAAGCAAGTAGTGATTGCATCTTTATCTAATTCAGGTGTTCAATTATTTTAACTTATCTCTTTACTAGGATTGGCTGAAGATTCCTCAAATCATCAATCAATAGTAAATGCACTTGACTTCTTAGACGATGCACAAATAAAAAAGAATTCTAAAGATCCTGAAAGATGTTATCATGAGAACTTATTAGGTGCTTGGAGTTTTAGTACTCATCAAGAAGGATATTATATTGCAGATTGTACTAGTACAGGACTCAAAGCCATACTTAATCTTCAAAAAAAACTTAGATATATTTCCTAAACAAAAATTGATAATTAAAACAAACCATTAAAAAGTATATTTATTTTTGATTTTTGATAATAAAATTAGTTACCCTCTGGATTAACCAATATATGATTTTGTTTTGTGTTTGTTTTTTCCAGATTTTTCAATTTCGTTTATCCAAAATATTTTAATTTGTTGATTTGTGATTTTGTGTCTCCTCGTGAGCTGCCACATTGCCTATTTGAACAAAAAAGGAA